CATCGTTAATGCCGTAGTGTCTGGACGTTTCTTCTGCAGCTGCTTCTATCACTTTAATGATCCCATCCAATTGTTGATTATGGCCTGGTTTTTCTGCTTCATCAGCCACAGTGTCATCTGAGCCTATAAGGTGTAGCTTTGGAGCGTTGTCTGCTACTCCTCTTATGAAAATAATGGTCTAGTCTTTCATTTTATGATTTTCAGCGCTTTTTTTGGGAAATTGATCGTTTCTGTAGGTTGTTTCCTATCTTTTTTACTGAGATTTCTTCAGAGGAATTAAACTTGTATTGGTAAAGTCTCAGAAGAAGATTGAAGCCGATGCCAGGAGTGCATATTCGCAGGTGGCCAGCTGTGTAGCGCTCTAATGAAGACTATAAATTGTCTGCTGAATGTCTCGGCTAAAGTTTTGGATTTTGGCAACAATAATAAAGTCAAGGGTTATGTTTACCGTGATCGATGGATTCTTTATCGGTTGCTTCCACCCCTTCTAATTCTTTGTCTGCATGGAGATAGTCGTCCGTTGCATCCACGTCTGTAATGTACGGTTTTCTCAATAAATAAGGAGAAGAATAGCGGAACGTACCTTCGTCGCTCCCATAATCCCAGTCATCTCCTTCTGGGACAGCGTTTGTGTCAGTAACACCGCCTTTGCTCGTTGTAGTGTCCTCCTCCTTATTCATCTCTTCGCCCATAATCCTCTCCTTCTCAGCTCTGTCCATTTTCCGCCGTTCCTCTTCCCTTCGCTGTTCTTCTCGAATTCTCTCCTCCTCACGTCTTCCAAAATCCAAGCGTCTTTGCTCTTCACGTCTCCGCTCTTCCTCCTGATCACGTTTCCTCTCCTCTTCCTCCGCACGTCGACGTTCCTCCTCACGTCTTTTGGCTGCATTTCTTCGCAATTCTTCATCTCGTCGTCGCAGTTCCTCAATTCGCTGCTCTTCTAAGGTATTCTTCTCCTGTGCTGGGCGAACTCCTACACGTCGCTCGTGTTCCGCTAGCTTCCTTCTCTCGGCTTCTACTTTAAGTTCATACTCTCGTCGCCTCTGTTCCTCTCGTAGTCGTTCCATTTCAAGTTGTTTTTGTTGTTGTACGTTGTAGCTGACGTCTGAAAAGATACTGTAGCCTTGCATAGCTTTACCAATTATGAAACGTGTTTTCAATATGAAAAATCAAAATATGAAATTAATATGCAGATTTTGTTATGTTGAAATAATCTTCTATCAAACCCATTTCGCAAAGCTATGTAGAAAAAAGAACATTCCAGCAGCTCAACTAAAACGTTCTAATTTCTTTTGAACTCTTCACCTGGA